CTAACTTCCTCTTTATACAGTTGAGTCGAGTTACGATAGATATATATGCTCTCACCCTCACTCACTCGGGTGGAGTCATCTTGAGTTGGTAGTCGAGAGAGTTTCGATTCTTTAGTCGCTTTGATTGCCAAGTTTCGTAGCATTTATGGGGATAAAAGGATTTCTGTCATCATTTCTCCTTTATTCTTTCTTTGCCAGCCAACCCCTACTCGAGTGAACCATCATAGAGGAGTACCTTTGAATTCACATTGCAAGTTTCAAGACAAAAGAATGAGATGATATGTTAAGAAGAGTTCGTGTCCAAACCACACTGGCAGATAGCCAGAGGGCTTCGTAACTGCTACAAGAGGGCGACTGCCTGGGCATATCCCCGAACCCCCAAACGACGAGGTAGGCACTTAAACACACCCTTGTCTAAAAATCTCTCTCGTTGTTGGTTCCTATCCGCATCAAGAAGAGTACACGCCCAAGCATAAAACGCCAACGCGCGTGGACCGTTCACAGTTGTTTGATAGAGGGTTGTCTCTCACAAAGAAAACCATGCCCCGACCACTATGGACTAGGCTTAAGTGTGGTATAGGGAGTATGGAGTATGGAGTATAGGTGGTATGGACTATAGGTAGTATGGATTAAGGGTAGTATGGACTATGGGTAGTGTGGATTATGGACTAGGGTTGGATGGTATGGGTAGTGTGGTCCAAGGCTTGGGTAGGGTAGTCCAAGGTTAGTCTCTCAATTATAAAATATTTCTCTCTCCTCTCTCTTAGGGTGAGAATGAAGGCAAAATCAGAAGAAAGAAGCTAACACAAAGAACTCTCTTAATAAAATTTCATCTTAGGTTACAAATGAGTGATAAACAGCTTATATATGATCTCACCCAAACATGGATAGATGATTAATACAACACAAAATTGCTAAAAATTACATATTTTTGGAATTAAAAGTGAGTTTTGTTTTTGGGGCAAAATGACCGTTTTTGCCCCTCCTAACTTTCTTTGAAATGACAAAATCATCCTCAAAAAGGGGCCTCTTGCCTTGCTTGTAGTTCGGGGCTCTTTTGGGCACTATCTGGCAAGCTTTCGGTACATCAATCATCGAAAAAATGATTGCCATGTCGAGGGGGTCGTTTTGATGTCCATTATTGAGGTTGAGTCAGAGTTTTGAGGTTGTTATCAAAATCCGGCCAAACCCACAACTTGCAACTTTAAATATTTGATCTAAGCTCATTTCTTTATGTTTCCAATCATGTTCTTTATCACAAATCGCAAGGAAAGTTATTTCAATCATTTTGCAATAAACTCTCTCGATTTGGATGTCAAACGGTCACTTTCCAAATTGGGGAGGTGGTCGGAAAATGGGATTTTGGCCACCGGAAAATGTTCATTCTTTTAGATTCAAATCGGGTGCTTTCCCGACCTCATTCATGTGCAAAATTTACCTCAAGTCGAAGCTCTTCATATCATGCTCGTAACAGACCCATACTTGAAGTTATTCGATGCTGGAACCGCGAGATATGCCCCATCGAATGGGTGGATGTTTCTCTTTAAAAATCTTGCAAAGCATGAGTTTCGAAATGTAATTTCTCTCTACGATTTCTCTCAATCCGGATATTGACTTGAGCCGTATCTTATATCAAAACGTGTAACTCGATGAGATCTACCATATGTCCGAATTTGGGCTCGATTGGCCTCTGGATGAGTGAGTTATGAGCTTTCGAAGTCATTCCCGAAAGTGAAAGGAGCAATTTCCATTTATGGAAACTAGTTCTTTAAAACATCATGTGAATTGTGTAATGCCCACCCATGTGGATAAGTTGGCTCTAGGATGGTGAAGAAGTGTCCAAACGAGTCGAGAATTGGTATCTGGGGGTTTTTGGGCCTTACAAACCTAATGGCGGTGGTCTGGTATTCATTTGAGACCTTGACAATATAGCTCCAATTATAAGGTACTTTTCAGCATGATTGAGTGGTTCTACGAAATGTAAATTTCATCTTGATCTGCTTTATCTTGATCAGATTGGGATGAAACTTGATGGGTACTCTTAAAATACCGAATACCACCCTTTAATTTTTTTTGAGGTCAATACAATATTTTTTCAAATCCTTCTAAAATTAGGCTTATTTTGATCACGGTTTTTGTAGTCTACAGGTATTTTGGTACCTGTGGGTCTGGGTCACCACCAGCTTCTTTATTATTCGCACTGGGAATACAAGCGTATCAAAAATATCCTACAACATCAAAAAATAGTTTTTACACCCAAAAGAGAAGGTGGTCTTGGTATTAGAAAATTGAGAATTAAGAATGGTGATGAAGCACACACTGAGAGACTCAACTATGGGAAGAAGTGACCATTGCTAAATATGGATTGAATAAAGACCTATTATTGATAGGGGAGGGAAGGAAAGCATGTCTCTCCTATTTGGAAAGTTATTGTGCAACGTAGGGATCTAGGAATCCTTGACGGATGGTGGGAAAAAGAGAGACTATATTTTGGTTTTACAGATGGGCGGGTGATACTCCGCTAAAAGTCAGATATCTTGATTTATGCAAACTTATTTATGACATATTTCTTAAGATGAGTAAGGTGACTTTAGGAGGAGGTTTTGGAGGCACTTGGAATATTTGCTGCAATTATACGGTGATCATTACTCAATTGACATTTTTATGGTAAGAATTGAATAATATTTATATTTGAACGAAGGTTGAAGATGAGGTTATATGGGAGCAAGAAACAAATGGTTTTTTCTTACCTGATCACTGTATATGTTGTTGTTTCATGGTAAATTAAGATGGGCTGAACCACGAAGGGCAATGATTTGGAAATGGCATTTTTCTCATAAAATTCAAGCATTTGTATGGATTATGTGTACGGGGAAAGTGTTAATTGTGGATCAATTGAGGAATAGAGGGAGAGTTATGGCCAATATCTGCATACTTTGCAAGAATGATGAAGAAAATGGGGATCACCTATTTATGAGATGTTATGTTTACTTAGCATATTTGGAGTTGGACTTTTGATAAGTTGGTTGTTTTTGTTAATTTTCAGAGGATATATTCTGATATCATGGATCATTCAAATCTTCCTAATCTTTCAAAAATAAGGAAAATCATTTGGAAAACTTATAGAGAAGAAGGATTTTCATTGGATATCAGAAGCAGGATTATGGCTTTATTCAGTTGGGTGGCAGCCAATAAGGATTGTTCAAGTATTACTAAAGTGGACCTTTATTTAAACATGGTCAATGTGGTTAGATTGGGTGTATCGAGAAGGAGAATTCTTCAAGGATGGGAACCACCACTTCAGGTTTAGCTTAAATTAAACATTGATGGAAGTTAGAGAACCCATGTCGACAGGAGTTGAAGGATTAACCAAAGATCACCGGAGACAATTACTTCTTTCATTTCTAGTCGATGTAGCAATGTAATTGCTAATAAGACGAAGGGTTGGCAGTACATTGTTAGTGGAAGGAGATTCGCATGATGTAATCCACTGGTGTCTAGTGAGCACAAAATCCCATGAAACCTTTGATCACTTTGGATGCGAATTTTAGACTTTATTGATAATTCAAATATATCATTCACTCACATTTGCAGAGAAGCTAATCATGAAGCGGATCATTTGGCTAGACAAACAGTTACATTTTCGGGTTTAGCTGTTATTCATTGTTCATTCTAATTTTGTTTAATTTGCTGTGTGTGTCTTTATAATTCTCTGATACTAATAGATTCAATAAGTTCTCTCTAGGAAAAAACAAACGCTATGCCCCCACCTGAAAACCTTATCGCCAAAATCCCATTCTGTGGTTTATGGCTAGACTTCCTGTCCCCAACCTATTCTTTACTCCCAAACATCCTCCTTTGCACATTTTTTTGGTGGGTCAATGAAAACTAGTCAGGTTTCCCCTTTACTTCTCTCTTCGGAACAAAACCCAAAATTTCTCTCCCCTTTCCCCGTTTCTTTCTCTAAGGAATCGTCAAACACAAGCGCTCTCGCTCTCTCTCAAATCCCAAGACTCTCAAAATCTCAAATTCAAAAACTCTCAAAAGATTTCACCCACAAAAAACACTCAAAAGATTACCTGATTCTTTCAACGTTTTATGGCACACATTAAAACCAAAACTCCCCCTCCATATCCCTCTTACTCTCTCCAATTTCCATTTTTGGGTTCCCTACTACTTGTGTACTAAATCTTTGTTTGCTGTTGTCTTGTCAATTTCTGACTAAGTTTAAGAGGCTTTTTCTGCAAAAGTTGTGGTTTCTAGTCACGTACAGCTAACTTCTAATCTTTGATCGGTTTACATCTGTTGATCGGCTTTTCCAGGCAAAAACTAATGGTTTTTGGGAAACCACTCGACTCGTCCACCAGATTTTAGTAACGAGACTACGCTCACAGAACTACCAAACTAGTTTTCTGGTCAAAAACTCCATGTACGCTCTGATTTGCTACTGCCAATTCGATATATTGACTTTTTCATCCTCAATTTCCCTCAGAAAAACTAACTTTTTCCTGAACTGCTTAGATATAAAAAACAACTTTTTTCAAAACTGCATATATATCTCTATCTCCATGTTCTGCTGAAAAACTAGTGATTTCATGGCGAAAGCGGTAGTTTTCTATCCGATGTAGGTTATTATCAAATACTTTCGGGGAAACCCAAGCTTCATCTTGAAGACTAATCCAACGACTTCAATACCAGTTTATAGACTTAACAAAATTTCAAAAGCTGACATATTATAAACTACAGGCATTTTGAGAGAATTGTCTGGAAAAACATACATTTCAGAGGAAATTTCCATTTCTTGTCTTCGTTTTCCAATGTCATGCGCATGTGCTGTATCGTGTATATCGATCACAGTGACCAGCAGGTTGCTTCCTTTTTAAGGAAATTTATTGAAATACAAATAAGAGATTGACTATTCAACATTTTACCCATTCACAACCATTCCAACTCATAATCATATGGATTTTTGATTAGCATTTTGAAACTAAATCAAAAAATAGGGGAAGAATATTAAATAGTTTTATCTCTACTGGGTATCTAGATAAATTTTCCTGTTCTTCGTCCCAAATATACCAGAAAAGCACAAGACAGAAGAATAGAAAGTCTACCCACCACGGCCCCAAGAGTTAAGGCAAACCCACAATGGCATAATAGGGATAGACATTATTACAACCACCACAATATTTTCATCATCTCACTCTTTAGGATCCTGAACCATTAACTCTTCCACAAATACAAGAATTGAATCGGTCTATAATATGGTACAGCATTGGTTGGTTTTCTTGGCTTGCTTGTAGAACATCTGCCATGCATAATGTCTTTGTTTCAGCTCTAAAATCCGAAACTTTCAGATGCAAGAAGTGTAGTGTGATTACAGGTTAGGGTAACCACACCAAAGTCCAATTGATTATGGTGCATGGTTACATCAACCAAGTCCAATGATGAATGGTCGGAGATCAACTTGAACAAGGTCAGTGGAGACATTCGCTCTAGTAAAGTTCATCTCGAACCATCCATCATTGTGAATAGAGGATGTAGTCCAGCAACCCATACTATAATCCAATGGATTAACTTACCCCAAAACAAAACATAACTCAATTGATTATGATACACATTCCTTGTATGTATAGAATACAAAGAGGGGGCCGTAGAATGAACAATCGCGAAAAAACCAGGTCCTTTCAGTCTGGGATCCCAAATTTAAAAACATGAAGAAAGATACAAAAGGATAAAAGAGGGACAGACATGCTACTACAATCGACTCTAGGAAAGCCATAGCCCATGGGCCATCACTATCAGTTGAAAAAGACGCACAGCAGTGGGAGAGAGGAAAAAGTGTAAACCACCACTGGGGCCATGTCTTTTCTAGCTGAAGTTTCATTGTCCATCACCATCCATCATTTCACTAGAGGGTAATGACACAATGGACTATGATTTTCCATGTCCCATCAGATTATAAGAGCATAATTTCCTCTTTTTGGGGATAATTCAAATAATTGAAACATATGATAAACCTGCGATGCAGCACTCAGATCTGAACTCTTTTCCACCAGACTGTCCAGCTTCTCTCCCCTTTCAAGCACACTGTCAATTGTCTTGTGCTGTGACAAAGAAAAACAATATCATCAGTTGGTCATAATTCAAGTCCAAGGAAATAAACAAAGAACAAAGAACGGGAAAAGGCAATAACAATATAAGCCCCCAAAATACCATGCATACCCTTTTCCTAGTTATCTCACACCCCATTTTCTATTTTTTCAGTAATACACCACATTTTCTCTCTTTTTACATAGCATTGTTTCAAAATTGAAACAATGCAATGAAATTGCTTCCTCAAAAGGCAATTCTTGTATGATGCAAATTTCACAAAAAATCATTCAAGCATTGCCATAAGGATCGGACAAGGATAGATGAATAACCATCTTTTTCCCTTCTATTTCTGGAGAAATTTCTCAGTGCGTCTGGCCCGTTTTGGACTACTTCCCCATCTTTTGTGTTCATACCGTCCTATTGTTGTATATATATAACCCTTGGCCTACTCAGAAAGGACAATAACCTATATTTGCCAGACTCAATCTGGCAAAAAGGAAGAAAGCCATAAAAAATAGCACAATAAGAGTGGGATAAGTTCTACTCACACTTAATCTCAAATAGGGCTCTTTTGCTTGTTTGGAAAACCATATACTTATTGCTCTTCAAGGTAGGGTCATGCAAAGTGTATCTGACCATTCCATGTTTTCCTTTATCATACCTGACTATTCCATGTTCATCTGCCCATTGCTGGAATATCATCCTTCTAAATTATGCTGACGATATGTGACAAAAAAACATGTTCTCCTCAAAACTGTCTTCATTCCCATAATTATGCTCAAGAGTATCATCCCATTGGATTCACATATTACAAGTTTATCCACATACTTCTCAAGTGAATGTAAAACAACACACAATGGTAGAGAGCCTACCATAAGTGCAACAACTCATCACCAGACTGTTGGAGCTCTAGTAGACTATGCACTAGACTGAATATATGGCTCATGCTACATGCATGGCAAGCCAATTTGTTTTAGACACACAAAAGCTCCATCCTAACAGTGTCTATTACATTGTGCAATACACATGATTCATCTAATGGCGGCACATTATTCATGTTTTGTTTCTTTCTATTTGTATGCAAACTATAGTTGAGTGGCATGACCTAATGATTGTCAGGCTACCATATGCTCCTGCCTCCTGCATTTTTTTTTTGAGACAGTAAGAAGCAGAGGAGATTCAAAAATTAAAGCAGAAGTCACATCTCAGGCCACACTTTTGATATCCTGCTAGATTCTTTAGATAAGAGAATTCATAACATTTATTAGGCTGACATCTCTCACAAGTACAATACGAAGGTCGTGCAGACAATACTTAATCCAGAATTTCCCAAGCTGGAGAAGTACATCAAGGTGGACAGTCACCACATTATGGAGGAGCACCAGGACAATCTCATCAGGCTTCGTCACATATTCTGCCCTTAAGTTGCCAACCTTCTTACTACCAAGCCCATGATGCATGAGATTTAACTTGTCAAACAAGGACTTAGAGCATTAGTTTCAGGGAGGGTATCAAAGGGTGTATGTAATGTTTGTAATAGTCATTTATAAGGAATTTTTTGTCCTTCGTAAATAGAGACTCCATGCATTTGTAATAGGATTTTTCTTCAGGGGGATTCTGCCATTTACCCATTTAATATTTTCTGAGTATAACGTGTTTAATGCTAATCTCAGCTGATTGGCAAAGTACAATTGTTCTTCCACAACCCAATTTTACATATCAGATCCCATGATCCCATTAATAGTCCTGTTTGGTGCAAAAAGAAATCTATAAGGCCTTTTTCTTTATTGAAAATTAAAAATCTATAAAACCTTGATTACTATGCCATGCGCTTGTCCAATTGTTCAAGATTAAAAGAGAAAACAAGGAGCCAACATATTTAAAATGAGACAGTCCAAATCATAAGTTATGAAAAATCATTATTTATGAAAAATCAAGACGTCTCAACCAACAAGGCTCCCAATAAAACAAACTCTAGGGTTAGATTATAACCAGGCAAAATTCTCAACATTTAGCCTAAATCACAACTACAAATAGTATGAGTTATGCATACCAGATGAAGTAACCCAATCAAGGATATAAACTTACAAGAATGATTTTGGTCTCGTCCAAGTCCCTCTGAATTTTTAGCAATTTATCAGCTTCTGCAGGGTCCTGAAAAGGAGGGAAATACATTTATATTTGCGTACTTTGGCTAAAAATTAAATACAAAGCAGGGCACATGAACTTAAATAAAATTGTTTTTCTTCAAATGTGAACTTAAATAAACATTTAAAGAAAAATAACAACTGTTTGTAGATCAATTAGTTGTAATGATGCGTAGCAATCAACGAAGCAAAAATTTTAATTACCTGATATTTGGTGAGAGCTTCACTTATATAAGGCCAAGGTTGATTTGCATCAGTGTGCATGGTTCTCCAGGACTCCCCAAAGTTTTTCTGATATTCATCTACAACCTGCCATAATGTGAGCACCCCATTTCAATATTCACCAAACAACTACTGACTGCCAATCTCAGAACCTCCTCCGGGAACCTTAAAATTATAACAGCCACCACAGGAGGAATATAACCGACTGTAATAGAGAAGTCAAAAATGAAACATTGCCACTTCTTGTCATTTTCATAAAATGATTTATTATTAGTGAAACTAGGAAACTAATGAAGTACTGCATGTGGGAATCAATGATTATCAAGATACTATTTGTTCCTTCTTGCCGTTTGCAGAATATAAAAGATTAGTATTAGTGAAACTATAAAAATAATGAACTACTAACATCTGGGAATCAAGAAACTAGTTGTTCCATAGAGATGCAGTACACACAAAACATAACCATATTGCAGATGTAATTTCAGTCATATAAACCACATTCATGAATTTACAAAACCATACTACCATGCATTGTATTTTGAAATAGAAATTGAATTCATAGTGACAGAACAGCAACAGAAAATAAATGGCTACTGCATACCATCCCAGTAAGGCCTGTGACAGTATATAGCATTGAAATATTTGAGAATCAGTATCATGCAATATCCAGATGGTTAACCCTACTTACCGAGTCATCACCAAGCGTCAGGTGCCAAAATTGTAAAGAATGTTGCTCCAAATGGTTCAAACTTTTCTTCTCAAAGTCATTACCTGGGAAGCCATGACACTCTCGGTCTTTGGTCCGGTGGTAAGACACCTGGTTACACTAGGGTGGTCAACAATTCAAACCTTTATGTTTTGTCCGTAGTCGCCAACTTTCAAAACAACATGTGCCCCTAAGGCACCAAGCTAACCTAACCAAAGGAAATAGAACTAAGTGGCTATTCTAACACCATATAGCATTTATCAAAGAAACCACCTCAATAGCAATGAAGTCAAACATTCCTCTTGAAGTGATCCTCAACCAACACTTCAAGAGGTGAATATAAACAGGCCACCATGGGAAATGAACGTCCAGGCTTCCAACTGGCAACCGCTAACAGGGCACATAAACCTGGATGCTCCTGGAATCCTTAATATCTCCCAAGATCATGAATCCCTAACCAATTATTGTCTTCATGTACTCACTGTGCAACTATAACACATACTACCCTAACCAACAGGTTTAAGATGTCCCTGTTCTGAATATTTAATGGCCCTACTCTTTTGTCTGCAGCAGGCCTCTTTTCTTTCTCTTCTGGTTTTTCTGTCTCCTCCCGGATATTCTACATTCTTGTAGAGGACCTGACCTGTGGGCTCTTTTCTTTCTCTTCTGGTTTTTCTGTCTCCTCCCGGATATTCTACATTCTTGTAGAGGACCTGACCTGTGGGCTGCCTCATCCCATCTCTTGTAAACATATTATACATTAATACATTGTCATCAGTTCGAAAAAACTAAAAATAAAATGCAAGGTCCTTCCCAAAAGCTCCAGTGCAACTTACCCAATGGAATTTATAATTCTCGCCACCGCTCAACAGGAACTCCCTTCCTCCTAGTGTTTTGGCCCTTGGCATACCAATAAATATGGAAAAGTGTCAATTAGTAGAAAATGATATTGTAAAAGGAAGCCCTCAAGACCATAGCTCCATAATTCAAGGAATGAAAGCACTAATCTTCATCTGAATCTCTTTATCACCGAATGCAAGAACTGTTTCCTAGGCAGGTAAACAAAAAAACACCGAGTACTTGTTGGGAAGAGTCTCAACCCTACCACCAACTTTCCTCATATTCCATTATTGCCATCTTATTGCATGTCCTGATTATATCACTGCTGTTAATCCTTGGCATGGAAACAGTTTCAAAGCATCTCAGGATCTTCCTCGAGTATTTACAATAAGACAAGCTGTGCTTTTAAAAGATTTATTTTAACCTAAACATTTAGAGACCAAACACCATAACCAAATGGCAAGGGTAGATGCCTTCCCTTTGAACACACCCTAGCAAGGTGTATACATATATTTTCCATCTCAAACACACTCTTGTGAATTGCTTCTACGTGGTGGTGGGAAAGGTCAGCAAATGACGGACTATTTTGCAGTTTTGTACAGATTCCTGGACTCATTGGCTAATGCCAGTACCAAAGCCGATCCACTTTTTCTCTCTTCTTCTTTTCCCCTTTTTCTAGTCAAAACATCCAACCCAAATTTTCTCCTCTTCTTTCGCTGTACTTCTGTCCGTCGATACTCCCAAGTACAAATGTGATGAACATATAATCCTTTAAGTGATAGTTTGCTCAAAAAAAAAAAAATTTGTTTTAACAAGGTTAAAAATTAGTGGCAATAAATATTGGCAAATGGCAACAGAAGCAATAAAAGAAAAAATAAATAAAAATAATATATATATAGGAGAACTCTTAAAAACGCCTATAGGCGATTTTGAACAGTGTTTCGACCCACCACGGACATGCTATTTCCGTGACAGGGTACTGCCATGGTCATGCTAGGTCCCTGGTGGTCTTTAATCCTCGCCGTCCAAAAAGATTGGGCAGCACCGAGCCTATGGACGAAAACACTGTTCATTTTCACCCATAGGCATTACTTATATATCCATGCTGATGTAAACCATCTGATTTAAAAAACTCTAACCACAAAAAAATAAAAACAAAGAGGAAAATCCTATATCATTGGTGATTCATGAAGCAGAAAAGGGTGATCATGTTAAGTGATACTTATTGTTAGGTTTTTGCAACTATATAATTTGAAAACATGTTTCTTGGTTCTATTGTGCATGTATTCACATCAATGAGGAGAGCCACAACATGCTAGAAACAACTTTAACACTCAAAAAAAAGAAGAGGATACACACTTGCAGTACCCGAAATGAGAAACATGCATCCAAACTTTGCACACGTATACCTAAATTTTAGACATATGTCTAAAATATAGACCTGTATTCCGTACTTTGGATTCATGTATCTAATTTTTAATTGATTTTGATTTATGAATCAGTTTTTATATAAATATATGAAAAATGCAAATGCAGACATGTTACCAATTCAACAATATATGAAGGTGTCACATCCATCAAGATGAATTTTTAGAAGCCATATCAGATGCAGTGTGTCCAAATCAGACATCAACACACAGGTCGATGTCTTTTTAACCTTTCGAGAAAAAACCAAAGTAGAGCAAAATATGTCAACAAATGAAATTGAGGACTTCAAAAAATTTATGTGCAAATAAAAATTAACCTATTTAAATCCAAGAAAAGAAAAAAAAACAAACCTCAGCATCGTTACTTCATGAAAAACATGAAACACATATGCAGATCCAAGTAAAACTAGCTATAAGCATTCAAGCAAGAAATCTAAACCACAACAAAAATATAATAAGAAGAAGCCAAATACATTATGTTACTTTTACAAGTTTAAACGGAAATCTCACAACCTCACAATCCACAAGATAGCGTAAATCAGTATGCTTTCTGAAGTCAATAGAAATCAAGTACACAAATCATAAAAACTCAAGTTTTACTTTCTAAAACTCAAAACAAGACTATGTAAATCACTAAAAGATGTAAAACTAGAAATATAATTCAATAAGGTAATACGCAAATGGTTGTAGCTAAATGAGCAATAACAGATAGCTAATATCCTAATACCAAAATAAAAATCAGATTGTACCTTATTGAGAATAGAGAATGCACTACGGATGGGGTAATGATCATCCGCAAAAGCCAACGCACAAAGACCATTTCTGCTGTAAGAATGCACCTTGTACTCTGATGAAACAACCAAACACAAATTACTGCATTTATTGTCTTTGATTTCTCAAGCAAAACTCATTACAGAAGCTACCCAAACTCTACAATTAAGTAAACAGGTTTGAAAGTGAAATTTTACTACATAACTTCGGTTAGATGCCACTTGTATATAAAAATATTATCTATGAAGTAATAGCCCATTTTGTTCAACATGCATACTAATGCTTATTTAAAATAAAAGAAGTGTCAAACATATATGTCAGCATATTCTGTTATTAACCCTATAAACTGCAGGGCTTATGCTTGTCTACATACCATTAGTAGTCAATTCAAAATCATATTTCACATAAGTAAATCTGGAGTCATCCAAGACACGCTTTTCATGGGAGTCGCTCCAATGCAAAACTTCCCCTCCGATTTCATTTCCCGTCAAACATATGTGTCAGCATATTCTGTTATTAACCCTATAAACTGCAGGACTTATGCTTCTCTACATACCATTAGTAGTCAATTCAAATCATATTTCACATAAGTAAATCTGGAGTCATCCAAGAAACACTTTTCATGGGAGTCGCCCCAATGCAAAACTTCCCTACCATTTCATCTCCCTTTCTCCCTATACTATGTGTCTTCCTTTCCTTAGTCTGCACCTCAGGGAGCAATTTAATGCATCCATTTCCCTGAACTTAACTCTCAAAAAAAGAAAACTAAAAGAAAACAATCATAATTCCTAGATTAATACTTCGGAACAATACCCCGACTTTAGGCTATTTAAACATGGCACTATAATTACAAAATTCACTAAAGGAAATCAAATTTGTCTTCCAAAAGTACATTCCCATGAGATGTTCGAGAATTATCCTAAAATGATTGTAGAAACCATCAACAACAATAAAATTTTCACATAACAAGGTTCCGAACAACATGCCAAGTAACTGAAATCAACTTAAGCTATCAATTCCAAAACTCGGTCCCACTCTCTAGAGCTAGAGAGTATTTTATTCTTCATCAAACATGTCTAAAGGGACAGTTTCTGAGAAGGTATATCATGCTAGAATAGGTTTTAAAAACGATAATATGCCACTTTGAAAACCCCATAACAGTTTCAATATTGGATACTTGTATATGCTTAATGCATGGGAGTCAACACAAAAGAACACTGATATAGATAAAAAAAACCCTAGGTACTTTTAGTAAAAGACATGAATATAAACATATAGTAAAAACAAAACATATATGTTTTCATCATTTCATGTAGTCGAATAGGAAACTTGTATCAGCATCCATTTCTCGGATTTTGGAAAATGTTGAGGTCACTCGTCCTTTCTTCCATGTCCATATGTATATTTACGTATCTTAGATTTCAATTGACTGTTGGAGGTAATAATCCTAGTTCTCACTTTTAGAGTGGATTCTTTTACACTAAGAAGACAACCCTGATACCAGCAAGAGATCATGTGTAGATCCTAGGATATTCTTGAGCATAATAGATGAAAAGGAATATTCTTGGGCTTAATAGAAGGATGAATTTCTCAAAAATTATCAATATATTCAAATTTAAGATGCAGACAAATGTCCTTCATTTGTGGCTTTACCTTGCGAACCCCATATGCAATGGGGTAGCAGACTTTGTCCCAGGATATGAGATGATATTTGCGGCCTTTCGTTCCAGAGCAAAGGAACTTGCGCATGATTTGCACCAAAAGGGCAGAAAGGGAGGCAGGCATGAAGAAAAGAGACAGTTGAAAAATGGGGGTGATGGAGAGGGTAGCCTTGATGAGGGTAGCTGGGGAAAGAAATCTACCCTTCCACCCAGCAAGTCTTCGATCAAACTTGTCAACCAAGTGTCTCCATTGATCCAGTTTGGTCATACCATGACACAGGGGGAGGCCGAGGTAAGTGGAGGGGAGGTCTCCGTTAGAGCAACCCCATCTCTCAGCCAAAGAGTGGACAACTACATATTCCAATCATTTTGGTCTTGCTCAGGTTAACCTTAAAACCAGTGGCGAACTCAAAACACTTCAAGAAGAGATAGAGGGAGTCGACTTGTTCCAAAGAAGCGCTGCAAAAGAGGAAGGTGTCATCGGCATATTGGAAGTGGGAAATGGTGGGGCCAGAGTTAGAAGATTTGAAGCCGACAAGGTAGGCGTGGAGATAAAATCTGGATAAATATCTGCTAAAGACTTCAGCTGTGATAACAAAAAGGAAGGGGAGAGGGGGTCGCCCTGGCATAAGCCCCTCGAGGAGAGGAAAAAGCCCACAGGAGAGCCATTCAAAAGAGCAGAGAAGTGAGGGTTTGAGTAGCAAACCCACATCCAAAGATGCCATAGAGACCCAAAATCCATCCTTCTTTGGGTCTCATCTAGGATATCCCAGCTTACATGGTCGTAAGCCTTTTCCCAGTCCAATTTAATGACTAGGCTAAGAATGTTGCAGAGGATGCGAGCGGGGATGCATTCATGCGCAATGTGGGCTCCGTTGAGGAGTCTTTGACAAAAGCCCCCTGAGACGGGGATATTACCCAGTCGAGGACCCCTTTCAGCCTGGAAGCCAGAAGTCCCAGGACTTTGGAGAGAATCTTGTAAGAGCGGTTGATGAGGCTGATGGGCCTGAAGTCCTTAAGCTCTTCGGCCCCTTCTTTCTTCAGGATGAGGGTCAAGAAAGTGGCATTCATGGCCTTCCTTATGACCCCTCGAGAGTGGAATTAAGCTAAGAAAACCAAGTTTTTAGGTTTGAAAGTGTCCCAAAAAATTTTAAACATGGCTATTGGATACCCATCAAGGCCCGAGCCGTTGTCTTGCCCGAGGGAGGAGATGGCTGCTAGGATTTCTTCCTCAATGAAAGGTCTTTCCAGTCAGGTTGCTTTGTCTTGAGGTACGGAGAGGAAAGAGAGATCAGCCATGCTAGGGCTGGGGCCGGGGGGGAGGGACAAAAGATTTGTGAAATAATCCACCACTGCTTGTTCGACAAGGAAAGAGTTTCCAACCTTAATATGGGAGATGGATTTATTGCTCCTTCTACAATTTGCGATTATGTGAAAGAACACCATATTGAGATCACAATGCTTGAACCATTTGACCCTAGACCTTTGGGCCCAAAAGATTTCCTCCTTTCTCAAAAGGAGATGGTAGTCCAATTTTGCTCTAGCCCTAGATTGGAGCTTCTCAGGTGAAAGGCCTCTAGATTCTTCAATTGATTCTTCAATTGAATCCCACAGTTGGATGGAAGAAAGTAAAGCCTCCTTATGGGAGCGAAAATTTATAGGGAGTAGTCTATGCCACTCTTTGAGGTGAGATTTGAGCATCTGATGTTTGTGTTGGAGCCTGAAGCCCGCCCAACCCAAGACAAGGGGAGAGAGAGAAGCCCGCCAACTAGGAAGAAGGCTGAGAAATTTTGTTCCTCCAACCATGCCATTCCGAACTGAAGAGGGGGGGGGGGCCTTTAGAAACTGGTATAGTATCAAGGAGGATGGGGTAGTGGTTGGAGGTGGATTTAAGCAAGGCTCAAGCATGGGAAACAGGGAAGATAGATTCCCACTCAATTGAGATGAGGAATCTGTCAAGTTTGAAAAACCAATTTGTGATCAAGGGTATTTTAAAAATAATCCAAAAAAGAAGGAAAAATATAAAAATAAGTATTTATGGCCAAAACACTTTCCAATTTGTGCCAAAATGATATAAAACATAAAAAACACATCACACATAGATTTCTTATCTTTTTGGATTTTTTAATGAATCTTTTTGAATTTTTTTTAAGATCCCAAGCTTGACCAACAAAACCGCGATTGACCGGACCTGTCTAGTCCGAGTAATTCGGGATGGTCCTCAACCCGCCCGTTTTTCGAACATTACTAACAAGACATAAACATCGACAACCATAGGAACCAATATCACTGTCATACCACCAAATTCCTCTGTCAACAATCCTTCAAACTTGGGTATAAGACCCACAAGTTCACATCACTTCATCATCATTACTAAATACAAGTATAGCTTATAGCAATACCCAAAAAGAAAATTAAAGTGGAGGAAAATTTAAACTCTCTGAGTCTTTCCTAAAATGGTGACAGCTCATCATCATCATCCTCGTCATCACCATTTTAGCCTTTTCCCAATTAATTGGGGTCGGCTAGCTGAATCGTGGTTCTCCATTCTGCTCTATTAAGGCCATATCCTCAATGAGGCCATAAGTCCTCATATCTTTTGGGACCACTTCCAACCACGTCGTTTTGGGCCTAACCCTTGCCCTTTTCAGTCCTTCCACTTGAACTAACTCATATGATGATATTTATGAGTGATCTAGTTTGCATGGTCCATTCCACCGATGAGATGTTCCAAATACCTTTCTTTAGTCTGTCATCACAAGGTGATAAATCTTTTTGTGTGTTCTAAGAATAAGAGATCTAGAGCATTTGAGGCTTTGGTTTTAAACCAAGAGTAGATCAAAATCAGAAAGAGATCTAAGGGGTAAAAGAGCTTCCAATATGGCTTGTATAGGAAATTCAAGAAATTAGTGCAAAACATTCTCAAAGAGCTTTAGTAATTAGCAGGAAGTTGCACAACAAATGTATTATTACAAAAACTCTTGTTCATATGAAGATGGTCCTTCTGGAAATTAAAATTTAGAGGAGGATGGTAACAACCCTAGACCCAACACACCATACAAATAACAAATACAGTGTTCACATCATGGAAGGACATGCACGAGATAGAAGGTTTGGAAAATATTGGAGGTCATGGGTCCTACATGGGTATCCACACATACAAGTGAGATCACAAGGTAGTGTCCCAATATCTCCTTGGCCATTCTTAATCCTTTATTCCATGTATCTTCAGATGGACTCCCTAATGCTCTTTCCGCAACCATTTTGATCATCCAATAGAATGAAGATTTGCAGGGGAGCTCAGCAGCTATTCTTCTTTAATTGAATGCTGGATATTCATGTGCACTGTTTATTCTAAATAGTGTTGCAGAAAATACATGTTGCTGGGCTTATCATGGTGTAGGACCTTAGCAATGTGACCCTTTTTCTTTCAGAAAGGTGACAATTTTGTTAACTAAAAGAAAATATATCATAGCAAAGTGCGACCATAATGGTAGAAATAGTGACGAGGCAAGTCATTCAAACTACAGAACTAGAAAGTCCAGAAACCAATTGTGGCATTATGGTACAATTAAAAAATGAGTTCAACAGGACTGCAAGGTTCCTCAATGCAGTGGAGCTAAAGCCAAGACATCTGGTGGTTGGGGATCCTGATGGTAAGCTACCAACACTTTAAGAAGCATATGCTTTTCAGGGTCAGAAGGGGAGAAAATGTTAAATTTGGAGTGAACTGTCGCAGAGTCCATGCAACAGGAACGTTTCAGAGTGGTCACTCACCCTGGTACTTCAGTTGCTCAATCCTATGATGTCTTACGAGGAATAGAGTTTGGAACCACAGTTCATGTCATTGTGAGACTCTGAGCTCTGTGATTTCCCTGCCCCATCAAACATAGTCCATTCAAATTCAATTTACCTGCCACAGTTGGGCATAGACAAGCTAGTTTTAGTTCCGACTAACTCTGGTCGATTCTCAGTTTCATCCTTCTACCATGCCCTATACCAACACCCTCCTGGCCACTCAATAGTGAACTAGGCTAGGGTTGCTCCTACCCCTCCCAAAATCCAGGCTTTCAACTGGAGTGCACTCTTCAAAAGACACTTATGGTTGACCACTTGCATAGAAGAGATGTTCAGCTTCCCACTTGCTCTATCATGTGTAATCACCTGTTCTTCAATTACCCAGTTGTGTACATGCTGTGGTCTGGCCTCTTCCAATCATTTGACTAGACATGGGTGTCCTTTTACTCTCCTCCATTCCCCTCATCCAGCGTCTTCTTGTGGTGGGCCTTGGTTTTTGCAACCTTTGGGCCTATCTGATTAAAAAGGAGCAGCCATATCTTTGAAGGGAAGGAAGCTTCTTTCCAAGCATGGAAGGATATCATGGATCAATGGTTATTTTTGGGCAAAGGGTACTGAGGCGTTTAAGGCCTACTCTGTGGCTGATTTTGTGAGCAATTGGAAAGCAATCTTGCCATCTGGACCACATTGCGTATCAAGATCCTCCAATTTGGGGACCACCTAACCACGATTCAGGTGTGCTTTGGAATTCTCAGGGGCTAACCTTTGCTCATACTCAATCTAAGCTACATATGGCCAGCCCCCCTAAGTCTACTTCTCTCATCTTATAGCCTATTGGAGCCACACCTAAGTTCTCCTCAATGTATTCATTTCGAATTCTATCCCTTTTTGTCACTCATCCATCTCAACATCTTCATCTCAACTACACTCATCTTATGTGTATGTTTTTTCTTGACCGCCCAACATACCGACCCATAAAACAAAGCTGGTCTCAAGGTTGTCCTATAGAACTTTCCCTTCAGCTTCATTAGTATGCGACGATCATATAAAACTCCAGTTGCACATCTTTACTTCACCCATATAACTCTTATTTTATGTGTGACATCTTTCTCAATCTCTCTATTTTCTTGGATTATCGACCCAAGATGTCGAAAGTGCGCTCTTTTTGGTAATTCTTGGCCGTCAATCTTAATTATTTCCTCGTCTCTACTCCTATTATTACCAAACTTGCATTTCACATACGCTATCTTAGTCCGGCTAATTTTGTTTGAAACCTTTAGATTCTAGAGCATCTCTCCAAAGTTCTAACTTTGCATTAATGCCGCTTCAGGTCTTATCGATCAAAACTCAGAAAAGGAAAAGAAAGTTGTGTTCCAAAAGTTTTTATAGAAATTTTTTCCCCACATCTTTGAGTAATTGTTTCATATTTGTTTGATATTGTTTTGGGCATCATTTTGAAGGTTTAGAGTGAAGATTCATCAAATATTAGAGGGATTCAAGGCTGATGAGATTAAAAACTAGAAAATCGAAATTTCTATCAATTTTGGGTTTAGTATCGAAAGTGATCATCTGAAATGTTAAGATTTCACAAATCTTCTATATTTTCTAGTTTTTTCAAATTCTGAGGTCGCCAACTTGACATTAGAGAGCATATTAATATGAGTCATGTTCTCTTCAGTTTGATTTTCAGCTCAACCGTGGATACTCGGTTTCCATGTATTAACACAAAAATTGAGAGCACCAATGGTTGTATCAAATGGCCCATTTTCCCCCTCAAAGGGATAGCTTAGATTAGAGAGTAAAGTTGGGGGCTACATGACCATCAATTTATAGAAGAGCTACATATATGAACCAGAAAATAGTCACAAGAATGGTAGCCTCCTAGAATCAAATGTCTAACATTTTTCTTATTCCATCTGGCGAGCTCATTGTGATATCTCAAGATTGCCTTTTTGAACAATAACCGTTAACTTCTGCTAAAAGAGAACCGTATCATATCATAAAACTTGTATCAATTTCCAAGCAACCCCTCAAAATATAATCCCATCCTTAAAACTGTTACTCTCTTCTTCTTTTTTGGTAGTTCAATAATATAACTCTTACTTGAACACCCATATAAGAGAATTACGTTCCAAAACCACCAAACAAAAACAAATGATCCCCCTACCATACAAACCCCAAATAACCCAATTATGCATCAAATGCATTCCAAATGCATCCCCAAAAAAAAAACAATCCAAAAGTATAGATATCAACAAAAAATAAACATGGAGAAACAATTGATCCCTTAACCACATCTTTGGAAACCTATTTATGATAAAACAGAAGGGCATAACAACACAAGAAAAGAACTCACCACAGACAAACTGAATGTGAAAAATAAATTAAAAAAATTAAGGAAAAAAACAAGCCCTAATTGTGTTTCGAACCAAAAAATCCGTACCCCATAAAAAAGTAAATGATAGAAAATAAAGTAAAAATTTAAACAATTTGCACAATTACAGAGAAAATTTCTGATGATATATCCCATAATGCAAACAGGTCAAATTGACGGTTCAGATCTTTGTTAGTGCAAATAGAAGGACCAGATCCAAAATGCAGGTCATATGATCCCAATTTCCAGTCATAATCATCAAATTCTGTCCATTTCCAACAATTTACTCATAGAACAATAAAAACAAGAAACCCCTCAAAATTCATTACAAAAGAAAACAATTAGAGAAACAAACCGACCTTCATGCTGAACAGATTGTCTCTGACCAGGTGGAGTTCTCTTCGCAACTGTACGGCCAACAAAAAGGATGAACTCTTTGGCTCCAGTCCTCTGAAAATAACCAAATTGGCTAACATCTGAAGCGCTCGCAAGAACCAGAGGCTCAGATCCCTCATCGTTGCTGCATTTCATGAGCAACAATGCCGTGATCTTCATTTTTTGATGATCCACAAACTCTAATAGTCAGATGAATATATTTTCTGAGCTTCTCTCTGCGAATTTTTCTAATAACGGACAACTGATATTAACAACTGCACAAATTATTGGACGGGGTTGGCATGCGGGCCACGCCCGCACATGTAAAAATACGGGCTCCTTAATCAATCTATTTTTTAGATTAATTTTTTGACGTAATTTTCAAGGATAGGTTATCTCTAACATGGAGATCATGAATATGAATAAATAAATAAATTTTAAAAATTAAAAATAATATTTCTAAAAAAACATTTGGACCGTTAGTTTCAATTAATTTTTAGATGGACCACATATTTGCATCCATCTTTAAGATAAATATTTTATACTTTTGGACCTTGGATGCCCAATTAAAGGGCCAGCCTTTAGTGGTGAACGATTTGCAACACTACGTCCTAAGCTCAATTTTTACTAATAATAGGGGCCTTACTAATTCACCAAAAAAAAAAAAAAGAAGCCACCTTTTAAAATAAAATTTGCTAATATAATAAACGAAAAATAACAAAGAGATAAATTGATCTCATCTAGGCCACTAACTCACCCCAAAAAAAAAAAAACTACTTTTTAAACAAAATTTACTAATATAATAAATAAAAAATAACAAAGAGATGAATTGATCTCATCCAGTTCCATTTCCAATTTCTTGCAGCCCTCATGCCGAGCAAAAGGGTAGACAACCTGAAATTCTTTAATGCAACACCTTTTATCGTCATTAGGCTTAGTCGCCTTTAATGCAACACCTTTTATCGTCATTAGGCTTAGTCGCCTTTAATGCAACACCTTTTATCGTAGGCTTCGTCGATTTATTTAGTTTTGTTTCTTTTTTCTTTTTCCCTTCAATTTATATGATCAAAATACAACATTGCGCAGAGGTAGAATATCTCAAAGTTAAATAACAATTTGATATGGAAAGAGTTTATATAAGTGCGAGGCTCTAAACAATATGGAAAGAGTTTATATTAGCGCAAGTCTCTAAACAATCAAATTAGAGTGCACATCACAAAATTCACTAGGGGGCTGTTTGGATAGGAGAATTAGGAATCTTAGATACTTGAAATCCTAAATAAATCTATGGATTTTCAATATCAAGGATTTTTGTCATGGATTCTTCAAATCTCTAGTTTGGATAAACTAATATAAAATTTATGGATTCCTTGCAATCACTTCCATGTCTATTATTTGGTAACAAAACTTGATACAATTTCTCTCTCTAAAATTTGTATATGCTTTCTCTCTCTAAAACTCAAAATTTGAGATAGTGTATCTATAAAATTTTTGAAATAGTTTCTCTCTCCTAAAATTTAATATACTTTCTATCCAAAATTTAAAATTAGAAATTGTTAATCTAAAATTTTGTAGATAATTTCTCTCTAAAATTTTTAGGTGCTTTACTCTCTTTAAAATTTAATATAGTTTCTCTTTCAAAATTTTTAAGATACTCTCTTTAAAATTTAATATAATTTCTCTTTCTAAAATTTTAAGATACTCTCCCTCTAAAACTTAAACTTGAGATAGTTCCATTCATCAATAATTTTGAGATAGTTTCTCTCTCTAAACACTTTTAAGTAGTTTCACTCTCTAAAATATGATATAGTTGTTCTCTCAAATTTTAATATACTTTCTATTTCTAAAAGCTAAAATTTGATATAATTTCTCTCAAAAATTTTTATGATAGTCTATTTTTCTAAATTTTTTTATGTACTTTCTCTCTCTAAAATTTGATATAGCTACTCTCTTAAATTTTAAGATGCTTTCTCTATCTAAAACTTCAAGTTTGAGATAGTTTCTCTCTCTAAAATTGTGAAATAGTTCATCTCTTTAAAATTTGATATAGTATCTCACTAAAATTTGATATACTTTATCTCTCTAAAATTTAAAATTTAAGATACTTTCTCACTCTAAAACTTAAATTTTGAGATAGTTTCTATCTAATTTTTATTGAGATAGTTTATCTCTCTAAAAATTTCATGTACTTTTTCTATCTAAAATTTGATGTCGTTTCTCTCTCTAAAAAGCGAGATAATTCTCTCTCTAATTTTTGTTGTCAGTTTCGCTTTCTAGAATTTATAATAATTTCTCTCTAAAAGTTTAAGAATACTTTCTCTCTCTACAATTTTAAGAATACTTTCTCATTTTAAAATTTAATATTTGATATAGTTTCTCTCTTTAAAAATTAAAATATGAGATTGTTTTTCTCTTAAAAAAATTGCATATACTTTCTCTCTCTAAACTATGATAGTTTCTCTCTAAAACTTAAAATTTGATATAGTTTCTCTCTCTAAAATTTTGAGTTAGTTTATCTCTCTAAATTTTTTTGACATTTTTCTCTCTAAAATTTTATCATACTTTCTTTCTCTAAAATTTTAACATACTTTCTCTCGCTAAAAGTTAAAATTTGATATAGTTTCTCTCTCTAAAATTTTGAGATAGCTCACCTCTTTAAAAAAAATTGATACTTTCTCTCTCTAAAATTTTAATATACTTTCTCTCTCTAAAATTTTAACATACTTCCTCTCTCTAAAATTGAACATGCTTTCTCTCTCTAAAAGGTAAAAGTTGAGATAGTTTCTCTCTTTAAAAAATTTTGGTACTCTCTCTCTAAAATTTTCATACCTACCAAATGCTCCTATGTTTCTGGTCGAGGGAGCCAGTGAGCCATGGACTTTGGAAATGTAAAAAAGAAAACAGGTTTTGGTGAAGAAATAAAATCATGGAAAAGTAAGTCTTATTTCGATGATTTTGATTTTTCTGATTTTAAGTATCCTAGTCATTAAGTAATCCAAACGTTGGATTTTGGCAAAATCCAAAATATTAGAAATCCATGTACCCAACACAGGCCCTAAAAGAGCTTATTTTGATGCTCAAATGTCATCAAATTCATTATCTCGACTTCAAGGTGCATGGACATGATAAAATAAATAAATTTCAAATTTTAGAAACAATTCATCTTGTAATGCATTTTTGAACCATCAATTTTCAAGTTTTTCGCAAGAACATATAATGTTTTGCCGAAATAAAATGTGTTTGGTATTCTCTCTCTCCATGCTAGAAGTACTGGCAACGTCCCAAAGGGCCCGGCCTTAGAGAAACAAACTTTCATGCTGAACAGGTGGTCTTTATTACCAGGTGGAGTTCTCCTCGCAACTGTACGGCAAACAAAAAGTATGAACTTTTTGGCTCCTGTCCTCTGAAAGTAACCATATGGGCTATACGCATATTGATCACATTTATAATGCCGAACAAAAGTATCTCCAAAAATAAAAAAATGGACCTAGAATATCTCTTTATAATAATATTATTATCAATATATATAGTAACATGTGTAAGAATGAATTATAGTGTTTGTGCAGTAAGTATAATATTTAGTCAAATATTACAATTCTTTTTGTTATGTATATTATAATAGGGAAAAGTCTTTCCAACGCCTATAGGTGAAAATAAATAGCGATTTTATTTACCCTCATCATCGTCCAAATTTTATTGTGCAGTCACGATTGTCCGGTAATATTTTTTTTATTATTATTTTTTCTACAAATCGGAATTTTTTGAAATTTGGAGGGTATGTACATCTTACTGAAGCGCATCTAATAAAAATATAAAAAAAATTATATGTAAAAACTAATTGACCAAAATACACCCAAAACTTTTCGGAGGTATTTTGGTTCTTGTAAATTATTTTTTTTTATATTTTTTAAAGATTTTAGGATAGACGAAATCACTGTTCATTTTCGCCTATAGGCGTTGCGTAGTGTTTTCCTTATAATGGCTATGAATAATAATTAATAAAATTAAAATGATTAATTATCATCATGTTAAGTATTATTGATAAATTTTTTTAATTGATATAAAATATATAAATTTTGTAAAAAGTTTTATTTGTTATCAATAAATTTAAGTAATTATAATTAATGATAATACGATGAAATTATCGTAATCTCTACTAATGAAATTATAATAAATACTTATGGGTGTGGTTTGTATAGAGCCAAGGCTCTAAACAATCAAAGTAAAGTGTAACTTCAAATAGTGTCAAGAAATGTGGTTTCAATACTGAAAATACTTGTGATAGCCTTAAAATATATTTTTATCTTTAATTATAAAATTGAAAGCTTCAAAAATAGTGTAGATCGAGTATATCTATGAAAACTTGAAAATCTTCAAAAATGCGTTACAAGATGGTACTATTTCAAAAACTTGAAATCCATTTTTTTCTAATGTCGAAGCATCTTGATGTAGAGATGATCAATTTAAGGATATTTGGATATTAAAACAACCTCTTCTAGTGAAATTTTTATGGTAGGCTCTAATGTGATTGGTTAGAGTCTCGGCTTTTATATAAACTTTTCCTATTATATAATAATAATAATTTTTTAAATAAATAGTAATTATTATAAAGTTTTAATAACTTTAAACTTATGCAGATTAATATCTATAATCATGTCAATTATTGGCATATTGATATCAATAATCTAATAATCGTTGCTAATAATCATTGGCTTTGAAATAACGCTAGGCCGTGGTTTTTTTTTTTTTATTATTTAAATATCTTAAATTGTATTTGCACATATATTTTTTGAAGTCCCTCAATTTCATTAGTTGACATATTTTGTTGTGCTTTGGTTTTTTCTCGACAGCGTAAAAAGATATCGACCTGTGTGCTGATGTCGGATTTGGACACACTGCATCGTATATGGATACTAAAAGATTCATCATGATGGATATGACACCTTCATATATTGTTGAATCGTTAAAATGCCTTCATTTGAAATTTTCATATATTTATATAAAGGGAAAAGTTTATATAAAGCTAAGGCTGTAAACAACCAAAAATTTCATTAGAAGAGGTTGTTTTGATGCCCAAATATCTTAAAATTGATCATCTCAACATCAAGATGCATGGATATGAGAAAAACATGTAGAAATAGCGTATTTTGGAACGTATTTTTGGACCGTCAATTTTCAAGATTTTCAAGTTTTCATAGATCTGTTGATCTGCACTATTTTTTAAGCTTTAAGATGAGTTTGGATGTACCCAAAATTGTA